TTAATGGCCACGCTTCGCAGCCATAAAGTAAAACAGAAAGAACTGTTGCGCAGTATACTTGTCCCTTTAATTGATAGGCGGATATCTTGCCTTCACTATAGATGACGTTAGTTGGAAAAGCCAAATGAGCTTTTTGAATCGATGCTGAGAATTCGTCAGACACTAACCTATTTTAGCTGATCAAACATCCAAGATAAGTGAAGTTGTCAACGAGTTCGACTACTTCACTCCCTATCCTTAGTTCAGGTATTAATACAGGTCAGTCCTGGAGCAAAAACGTGCATTTAGAGTGGGGAGAAACGCATCTCAAACATTTTAGCATTGTTGCTCAGTGCTATCAAAAGACTCTGCATTTGATCAGCATCTTCATCAAACATCACCATATCATCATTCAGTTGGATATCTATCAAGAAACATTTGAAGAAAATACGTCACAGAGCAACACAACATTTTTTAGGAGGACAATATCTGACAACAAACTACCTACGAGTTTGATTGATGCCCAATTTTTATCTCTAAAGCGTATTCATATATGAAATAGAAGTTTAAACACGATTAGAAAAAAACATGTAGTTAGGAACAATCAATGTGGAGCAAAAAAGAGAACATCTATAACGTATAAACTTACCGTCATTAACAATGAACTGTATAGGTGAATGTTAAACTTCCTGTCTAGTTGCTCTATCCATCGGTTTGGTTGCTTTCATCAAGTAAGGTACATTAACTGGAATCACCGTTGATTGTTACTATGTTAACAAGATTATGTTTCCGCAAGGTTTTATGATGAAATAGAATTTAGATATGGTATTTCTGAATCTTCACTTCATTTTAAGATTAGAATAGCACCTAAGATCCCTTCAAAATATGGTAGGATCTCTTCAGAATGCAGCATATCTCTCGTGTGTGAGTATCCAAATCTCCTACTTATTTGTAAATTTATGTTTCAAACTTTCGTTTTCTTAATGACACATTCTGACTGAGTACGGTGAGACTATAATTCATGGACAACCTTTGAACGACGCTACAGTGACCTTGAGGGTGTCCAACTAATAACTAAGACCAAATGAGGGTTATAAACCTGTTTGAGGAATTTGAATTATGATTTACAGTTGATGGTTAAATTTAGGAATTAGATTTAGGGTTTTCATCGCCAACTGATATTAGCTATAATACCGAAACTCTATTTAACCAAATGGATGAGTGAATTTCGCACCAAAATTCGAAACCTGTTACCTCGTACCTGATTGGTTCGTTTATAAATTATAGTCTCACCAGACATTAATACTTTTTACTAGATTCCCTTATTAGCAACAGCCTACTGTGAATGAGAACAAATCGGCTTCGAGCTGAAGAGGATATTAAGATAAGATGTTAGAAGTGGATATAGCTTACGTTGTGAAAATCATCAAACTACATCATGAGGCGAGCGCTCACCTAGAATCCTGAAGGGAAATGGAAAAAAGGAATGCCGAACAACACAGTACGTTCGGAATTGGGAGAAGATACAAAAAGAATGAATAGCAGCTGGGAAGGATTGTAAAGGACAAAGTTAGATGGAGAATGCTGGTAGACGGCCTATGCTCTCCAATTAGGGTTAACAGACGTAAGTAAGTAAGCTTTCTTCATTTATATTGTTATATAATATGTTCATTTACAATTATCACATTTGCATTTCACGTGACACATCAGTATTACGACCTTTATATCATAATCAACTTTATCACGATTACATAAAACCTTATTGTTAATACAATTATGCAGATCGAAAGTACTACTCCCGCTAGTGTTTGTTTTTTTTGATAAAAATTACCAACAACCTCAGATGGGTAGCGGTGGAATCCGTAGACGGACGTTTCCTTCAGTTTTAAACTCCTTAGCTGGATACACCTATACAAACCAGTGGCTATCTGGACTCAGTAGCTAAGTAGATAACATGACAGCCTTAGAAGTGAACGGTATACGGTTCGAACACGGAAGTAAACATCGTCTCTGAGTTACAGTTACATCTAGCTGACGAGTCCCGAATAGTACGGAACGAGCGTCCTAAATTCCACTGTTACTCACTATTTATCTTCCGCAACACATAGTTGACATTCACAAGAGAGTGAATACTTAATGTGAGAAAATGTCCTATATTGATGTGAAACCTTCACGATAAGAAAGTATTTTGTGATTGATATCAAAACTACTTTGAGTAGTTTTCTTTATACCTCAATTAATAGTATTATAAAAGGTGATTGGCCTAAACTTAAACGAAATATGTGATCATTGTGTCTGGGTGTACACATTTTGCGCATAAATATATAGAACAATAGCATGCTAAGAAACAATGGTAACCAATTACATTATTTTAGAAATCATTATTAATATTAGGCAATAGATTTGAGGAGTGGAATGGGGGAAGAGTGGGGAGAACTATTCATTTATATGGGGCAAGTATAGGTAATAAGTTTAAACTAGTTGCTTTAATGTTATTTACACTTTTTCTAGTACGATCAACCATATAATTGTAGATTTATGAATACTATCTGTCGAAATAGAGCAATGACTAACAACAAAGTTAGGGATGTTTTTTCAGTGTTATTATTAAGAAACGAATGTTGCAAACACTCACTGAAGCTTCACCCGCTGAGCTGTTGAGTTATATAAGTCATTTCACTAACAGGTTTAAGGTCATTTTAAGGGTGTAAAATTTTCACTTGATAACTGAACAGAGCAAATCTAGAAAGCAGTTTCAGCACTATAGAGAGTGGATTGTAGAATCAGTAATGCCGTATGTTTTAGATTGTTGAGATAATGAACAGAATGCCGGTAAACAGATGATCTACAAAGATAGAATATGATTGACTGAGAACTGCTTTGGAGAGTTAATAAGCTCTAAGATAAACGGTTGCCGAAAGGTAACACATCTGCCAATAGTAAAACAACTTTGTTACGCACAAAATACCAAAAATAGGAATTTTATCAAACGTTGTTTGAGACATAAATAATAGGTTGGTTAAGGCTCTATAGGCCACTCCAAAGTCAATGATAGTAAAGCTTGACTACTGGGCCTAATGTTCTACCTAACATAATGCAAGGATACCTTCATTTCGCCCTTGATTGTAATACATCGTATTTAATAATAATCGGCAACAGAAAATTGAGACAATTTCTCCTTGTTCGGGACTAAACACTGGAATTTACGAAAGACATAATGGTGCTGACAATCGTCAGACGATCAGAACATTTATGCTGGTAAATGTGCAACAAGTGGATATGTCAAAATGCAATAGTCATTAGTATGAGCGGTTTTTGGTGGAGTTTTATAGTTTATAATACGGGCTGACAATCACTGGAGAGCCATTGGAAGCCAGGAAGCATCGGATAGCCGATATGAGATTCGTCACGAGTAATTATATATGACCTTGCCGGAATCGAATGCGTAGCCTTTAGGCCTTATCGCGAACGTCTGACTTCAAGACCAGAGTTAATATCCAGTCGTTTACACCAAATCGTCATATTGATCAGATATCTTCCAATGCCACTAGTAATTGCCTCATATTCCCAATAGTTGAACTTCATTGGTTACAGCTTCTCGGGTACTGGGTTCAATCTCTCATGGAGCCATGGATGAACACTTCTAAATACCATACTAGGACAAGATAACTGTTTCCTGCTGGTTTTGTAAACTATAGACCAGTCAGTTCAGTTATCTGAATAATGTACAGGAAATTTCAGGCCGAAATATTAAGCTTTTAATCATGAATAACATTATTCACAACAATTCTAAGTGGCAGACTAGAATGGTTACTAAGTAACGGTGCTAATTCTCAATTGATGTTTGATTCGAGGATACAATGTTTTTAATACAACGGATAATAAGTGATTCTGGTAACTTGGTTGGGATCCCATAGATTCATTAAAAACCAAAGAGTTATAAAACCTAAAATCTATTTCCGATTGTTATATTCCAATGAGAATAATGAATAGTAACTGTTAGAATCTATGTCTGGACTAATACTATACATACATTTTTGTTGTATAGTTATCAAGTAACTAAACTATTCATATTCATGTCCCTCTTATTATGAGCTTTATTTTGACTTATGAACTATTATTATAGAATTTACCATTCTTGAGCTATGTCTAGTCTATCAATTACCATCTCCAACATTCACAGCTACATTTGGCTAAATCTTGTATAAATGTTATTTCCTGTTTTATGGTACGATATGGTCTGTTTGGTTGGTATATAAGCCCAGTATGTTTCAAATACATGATTCATATCACGGAGACTGAGATTTGTATTCTGGACTTAACAGTCAGGGCTAGGCGGGAATCAGAACCGATAAAGACTTTAGACTGCTCGTATGAGTTTTATGCGTCATTGGTCCGGTCGATAATTCACTGTTCTCTAATTGACGGTATCGTTACGTTATATATTAATAAGGCAGAATGGCACAAGTTATAACACCAATGTAATTTACCAAATCAAAACAGCTAATTTACTCTTAATCTGTTCACATACAATAACAAAAAGAGGAACAAAAATGGACAAAATCACTATATACAATTATCTATAGTGTAGTAAATACATCACATCACATTTGAAATGATCTCTTATCAACTATATTTAGAAGTATAATAAACCATAACAGAAGAAGTTATCACAGGGGTGAGGGTTGGTGGTGGTGGTGGTGGTGGTGGTGGGGAATATTTACTCAAATTAACTCAATTAAACAAGAAATCAATTAGTGACTATATGAAAAGCAAATTACAATGAAAAGGATATATTCAATTATGATTTATTTACAATACCTTTTTATACAATAATAGTAATAGTATCCATTCTCAGTTCATTGATATTAAATGGATATTGTTACCAAGCTAAATTTTTTATCCCAATTTAAAGATTATTTCCCATAACAACAATAATAAAAAAAATAAATAATATAAAAATATGAATTCATATACATAGAAACAAACAAAAGATGAGAAGAACAACATTTAATCAATAATTAATCTGATTCAACTATAACTGCATGTATTCCAGCTGCTTTTCTATCTAAATAACGTTGACGAGCAGCAATTAATTCTTCATCAGTAGTTACTCGTAAACGTGCCATTATTATTCCAGGTAATTTTTGATTCTTTTTATTCAAATAAGTATTTAGATCTTTCTTCGATTGATGAGAGGCTCTATTATGTAATATAATTGAGAAAATATAATGTAAGTATTACTAATATTTAATCAATAAAGAATCAAACAGAATATTAACAAATAAATGAAGCTTAGTTGTTAAGGGATTGAGTGACAACCTTTGATTAAACTTATAGATGGACAAACATATTTATGAACGTTGTATAAAAATGATTGCATATATATATATATATATATATATATATATATATATACAAGGAGTCATCCAACAATACAACCCCCAAATGCCCTGGTACGGCTAAAGGTAAGGAGAGTCATCTCTCCCTCTCAAAATGTTCTCAAATGGCCAAATGTATACAACCACTATCAGGGAAGTCATATTCATTGGCTTCTTACGGCTAGGGTGTTCTTTACGAAACTGAGAGGACGAAATGCGAATGTCCGGCGCTTTAACCGGGTTGGTTGACATGGAGATTCCACCTAGGGTGGGGTTAGAAAACCCTCATTCCAAACCAATGGTGCACAAGGGCTCCAGGATCCTGAGGGAACACATGACTTATGAACCGATTACTGGTCACTGGCTACCATGGGACTGCATCTCCTCCCGAATTCGCTCTACTGTTTTGTGGATTAGACCTTTAGGTAAAAGGCTTTAAGTGTTGGGCACCCGGGCAGTATCCCAGCCTTCGTACAAATCAAATGATTTATGTAGCTCATAGGTTTTCAAAACACCCTAAAAAGGTTTAGCTATCGATATTTTTTCCATGTATCAGCATCGTTTAGTGCAAAGAATAAATGTCTGACTCCCCTGTTACTTTGATAGTTTGTAGCTGTATTAAGAGTTATTTGAAGCATAATTTAAGTTTTGCTGAAAATTATAAGTGTTGCATTGATCCATTATGTTAACATATGCGTTCACTATGACGAAGATATTTTGATTAGTCATAGCTATAACCGGATCATAACAAATATAATGTTATTTAAATCATGAAATAGTTATTTTAAGCTTGAAAAAAAATAATACACAATTTATTACCATATCAGTATACTGCTTAGAAACAAAATAAATTCATATTTCGAAACAATAAGTTACATATACGTAATCATATACCTTGTTTTATCATCTTTACGATCACTTTCGGTTACATCATCATCATCATCATCACAGTTAGGAAAAGCTTTATTTGGTGAGGGTGATGATACATTTTTGTTACTATTATTATTATTATTATCATACTGCTCTATAATAACATCGGTCTTTTTCCTTGTATGTTCTTTTACAGTTTGTTTTTTAATTGTAGATGCAGAGTTAGAGTCTGCTTCCAAACAATCTTCTTTGCTTGTAGTGCGATGGTGGCATTCCTCCTAATTGGAACAGGTAATAATGTAAAAGTTGATTATTCTGGATTTATCTAAATACTAATGGTATATATTTTTTCTATTTATATGATTATAAATACCAACACATCACACACAAGGTCACATTCTCTTATCTATAAACCAACCGATTGTTAGACAGAATGATACACCGGATTTATAAAAGTAGTTAATTCAGAGGTGGTAATATATAAAAGAAAGATTTTACATGTAAGGATATAGTACAGGAAGAAAGAATTAGTACGTAGAAAGAAAGATATGAAGCGATTTTAATCTCATAGTTCAAGGGAAGACAGAGAGTGTATACACCGACGCCATTGTGATTGATTCTGAGCCATGTCACCAAGAGTCTCCAACCAATGGTTACGATAGTCATGCGGACCTCAACCAAGTAGTCTGCATTTACCAACATGGCTCAGACTAGAAGTTAGTGACTTCAAGGACTAATGCCACGTTTTGGTTTGGCTGCCCCCTAATCTTCTTCCAATCATTTTCAACATTAGTCAGCATTTCACGTCGTGGTAACCGATGTTCAGGCATACGTAACACGTGGCCCAACCATCTCAGTCGATGAAGATTCACAACCTCATCGACTGATTTGCCATCAGTCCCTAATACCTCTAACAGCAATCAAGACCACTGTAAGATGAAACTCCCTGTTATGAAATAAAACACGGTTGTTATAAAGGTGAAAATCTGGTCGTTGCAACAGGAAATAGCGATTCGGACAACACTAGGGATAAGGATGAAAACAATAGATAAAAATTTATTTTTGGTATCCCCGACCGCAGCTGCTACCTTGACGTAGTGGTCGGGTTTGCCTGTCGTGATGACTCAATCGAGTTATATTGACTGGAACACATGTTTCTTCAGGTCCTAATATACCAAGCAGGTTGGTTGGAGAACGGTAAGACTAAAAGTAGCAAGTTCAGGCCCGAGGGCAGAGTCGTACTGACGACTGGATAGGGATGTGATAGCAGTAAGGTGTTTACCTCGGACAACTAACATCTCCGACGATGCTGCACTATCACAACGAAAGGAAGGGGTTAAAAATTGTCAACCGTAAAAACTTCATTCCCTACCTTATCCCACAGATTTCCGTCTCCGGTGGTAAGGCCTTTTGAAGTGCAGAGCCAACACACAAACTTTCCATAGAAAGGCCGTGTGTGACTGGCCTCAGACAATTGTTCCTTAAGCTCTGCGGTCACGCTCCTGGGTCACTAAGATCACCGATAATTCAGCTTATTTTTCTGGTCCCTGAAGAAGAAAGATCCTTCAAGGGCAACTGGGAGATGACATTCGTCCTCACCAGCACCCGTGGTCATCTTGTTGACGATCGAATCCCCCCCTCACTTCTTAACAAGTCTTTAATCCCCACGACTAACCCTAATTTATCTTTGTCAACACGTGCCGTCAATGCTAATACCAGCGATAATTATTTGAGTTCACAAAATGTTATTCCTGGTCTCCAGAACCTATGATCTAAACTACATGTTGGAGATTTTAATGTTGAAACCTTGTATCAAATAAAAAAAAGGTTTTTTGCCAAGACTCTAGAATCTCACACCATCGATGTGTTCTGATTCTCCGAAAAGTGCATACAGGATCCATGTACAGTCATTCATTTGACTTCACCTTATCAATATAGAGAATCGGGATGATTTACCCTCCCAGTATTTGAACACCTCACCACTACTTCGCATGACCCCTCTGTTAGACTGGATTCCAATAGACAGTCGCTTTTGTGCTGTTCAACTAAACGGGGCAGTTGGAACTCTAAAATGTAGGGACACAAGTCATTGCCATTTTATTATCTCTACCTACGCTCCAACTGATTGCAGCTCGAAGTTAAAGGTGAATTTTATAGGAGTCTATCTAGCCTCCTTCAAAAAGCTGAACGCTCTGGCTCAGTAACAGTGGCATGTGATTTTAATGCTCAAGTAGGTAAACCAAACCAAACCGAAAGAGACTTGGATGGGTCTTAAGTTGTTGCCGCTCAGCGAACAAACAATGGCAATCGTCTGTTGCTACTATGCTCAGTTAACCGTCTATTGTTAGCAAACGCCAACTTTAAGCACGGGGAATAACATTATCTGACGTGGCAACCTCCACAACCGACTCGTCGATGGACTCAAATAGATCATATTACCATTAACCATCAGCTTGAGACTGTCGCTCATTCTGGAGCACATGTTTAGACTCGATCATGCTCTAGTCCTAGCACTTATATTTCTGCATTTTACTGAACGTAGAAAAGCCACAGCAAGATAATACCTTAGAGAAATGGAAAAGGCAGCAGCGATAGGTAACGGTAAACAACTGTTCAGACTTATCTAGGGAACGGGTATTAAAAATTAGGCTGTTAGTGAAACTATCTCGGAAAAAGGCGGGTTTGTTTTTCACTCTCGACCCAGGAGACTGAACATATTTACCTACAACTATAACGCACTAATCTTCAACATTACTCCCCTAGCAGTTCTATTTTATACAGACAGCCCTTCAAAGAAATATACAAATGACTTCTACCATTAAAAGTTGTATTCATTAGCTTAAAGGTAACACAGTATTTACTTCTGTGCAGTCTCTGTTTGACCGCAGGACAAGTATATGGTTTATATCAAATAAGGAATAGGTTAGCAAAAGCCAGTGTACTTTTGTATCCAGGTTCGTCTCAGTTTAAAACCAAAAGTCCACGGTATTCCCAGGATACTTGAGATGATTGATGCACTCAATTATTTCCAAATTGAAATTCATACAAATCAGTCAAGAAAGATAACTTCGAATTTAAACTTAAGACGTTTAAGAAACCTCACTTTTCAGATCCTTTATTAAGCAGAACTATGTGATTTGTGAATTTTGATTCGACGAGTTCCTATATAAAGGGGCGATCCCTGTAAAACTAGTTGAATAAAGTTATTACCAGAATTATATCTGTGATAAATTAAATCCAGATGGAGAAAATGGACATTTTGACGGATACTGCCTAACGTTGGCAACGTAGATGAAATTTCTTCATGCGCTCTCACTCAGTCAGTTTTTCACCAAACAAATCACACTGAGTTCAAGTATTAATATGGTACATGGTTTAATGAAATGTTCTCATAACTCTCGGTTGACAGCGTTACATCACATACTAGTCAGAGAATACAATCAAAACGTCGGTATTTGTATCCGTCGCTTGGTCGTTAAGGCGCTCAACTTTTAGACATTTAGCTATGGGATCGAATCCCCCTCCACTTACATCGGTTCAGGCAACCGAGTAGTGTCATCAACTTACACTCAGAGTACAGCTCATATTCAAGTACCCGGTAAATGAGTTAGTTTGTATTATTTTTAAAGTTTCTGAGTATGTACGTAGTGAATAACCCAAATACGAACGGTGCACCCACAATTAGGACTAAAACCGAGACATTTGTTAGTCATCAGAATGCAAGATTAAGCTTGACTCTACCCAGAACATATTCAAAGTTAAGATGGGTACCCGAAAGTAGCAGCAATCTTGTGAACATACACCCCCAAAGTAGTTGATTGAAATATGACCAGTAAGTACAGAGTTGAGTTGTATAGTGATTTAACGGTCACGGGTTATAATGAATTCGTTCTACAAATGTGTATAGACTGTAACTAGTGCTAACTTCTAGCAGGCATTGCAAACGTGCTGCCCTACAACTGCAACTCGGAAATGGATTGGTTATTTACACTCCAATTAGCTTCAGCTAACATGAACGAGGGATAAGGAGTGTACCATATTACGTTTTTTCACACCATTTCTTACAGGAAAGACCATAACTAAATATAACACAAATGCAGTTTTATTTTTGAAATGTTCTGAAATTGTCCGTTGATTGTTATTCACAATACTTTGTAAAACCAGAAAATGAACAGTAAAGTAACTAATGCTGGTGAACATTAAACGTCATTTTCACAGCAGTGATAGTTGCGTGCAAAAATAGTCCATAGTTACTGCTTAAAGGTTTATTACTTTTTATTCAAGTGTTAGTAACCCAATGTTAGTGGATATGTGCCTCCTTGCAATAATTACGTCACCTCTACGTATCAATAAAAAGTCAGGTACTTGTCAGTTGGTTTTCTAGATAATCAGAATGACTACAACTATGCACATCTCCAGTGAAAAATTTTCGCAAGGACAGACATCAAAAAAGCATCAAAAAAATAACTAATAAATCCAACTTATCGAGTTAGAAAAGTGGCATTAAACTACTCGGTAATGTTTTTGTCCAATAATTATAGACTACACATGCTGTTCCTCGCTATCAAAACCTTGTTTCCCTAACACTTTGTACATGCTTTTCAGTAAAAATTAAGCAAGTGTACGGAGTTTCGTGTAGTACGAGTCAAGTAAAAATGAAAGCTAGCAAATATGGCAGCCAATAAAAAAGAATCTTACTGAGTATCCCGCAGATGTTTTATCTTGATTATCAAACATAAACCGGTAAAATCCCCCTAAGCCATCTTGTTTGCAAACATCCATAACTTTCTCTCTTTCCTCTTCCTCCTTGCGTTTTTCTACGAGTGCGCGAAGTTCACTTAATTTACTTTTGTACGCTGAGGTAACGAATGACTCCTTGTTGTTACACAGATCAGATTCTGCTTCAATTTCCTTCTGAGCCTTCCGTTCAACACATAGCTCTCTCTCAAGTTTGCGCTCATTGGATGCCTTTATAAGTCTGCCGACATACTTGGACTGAAAAAATTAAGATTTAAAAGACCCACTGTTTTGACGGTTTTTCTAGAAATATCCTCTGCTTTTTTATCGTGTATATCGTCTAAGTATTCATCGTATTGGAATACTGATGGGTCTTCCTCGAAGGCTTTTTCTAACTCTGTTTTCACCTGAATATTTTTAAAAATATGGAACGCACTGATACCTTTCGATTAATCCTATTCTGAGCTATGCAAGTCGTTTGAGAATAATCGGCTGGTTTCTGAAAATTTCTCGTCAATAAACGATGAAACCCCTACAAGTTCTTTGTAGTTTTCCTCTTTATCGGATTCCTCGTTGAAGACGTCATTTAACGAAACCTTTATTTCATTTTTAGGCTTTCTAGTTGGGAAACTAAGACCGTACACCTTATTGCGTCCTTGATTCATAATAGACGGTAACCAATAAACATGCGATTTAATGTCCAATATATTTTGCGAAATACTTTGAATCAAACGCTAACTGTTGTTTCCGATAAATCCAATATCTTCACAAGCTTGAATCAAGTGAACGATTTCTTGTCACTCGCTTTTTATCGTTTCATCATGGTTCTAGGTATCTGGTGACAGTTTCAGTTTGGAAAGGACGAGAGGCCAAATGGCCTGTGTTAGTCCTGGCTGTGATGGTCTCCCAGTTGATCCAACTTTCTTTTGAAAGAGTCGACAGATGCAGTTTCAGCCACGTGTTGAGGCACTGAATTCCACTCGTTGATGATTCGATGGGAAAGTCGATAGTCAACTGACAAATAATTTGTTCTGAGCTTGTAAACATTTTTGGAGTGTCATCGTAAATTATGCTTTGAAAGACAAAAATGTTGGGGTGCCAGGTGCTAATTTCTCACCAAATAATTTGCAAACTGTAATCAAGTTACTTCTAGTTCTTCGATATGGCAACGGGAAAATGTTTGGCTTAACCAATCGATGATCTTGTAGTGACTCACATTTATCACGAGAACACGACTGGTTTAATAAAAACAATTATTATTATAACCAAGTGTACCAGTGTTTGTTTTAACGTGCTTTTGTTTGACTGTGCATATGACAGCTATTTTTTGCTTCCATTCTTATACTTACACTTCGATTGTAACTTCGCGCGAATTCGGTTACCTTCTGTAACCAAGGTTGTATCCTGGCACGGTCTCGGTATCCTTTCGATGCCACGAGATCGCCAGCTAATAAACCTCGACATGGTCCATTAACTGTCTTCTGATATTTGTCTTCCCGGAGATTTTATGGGTTTCTTTGGTCACGTTCAACCTTTGCCTTCTGATTTATTTGGCACGTGTTTCTTGGTAGCGGTGTTCATAGTTAACCTCAACTCGACACCACGCTACAATCTTACGGGAGCTTCGCTTTTCCGGGAATCAGTCCAGTTGCTGTTCTCTGAATCTTTTCCAAAAGTCGCTGTCTTTTTTAAACATGAGCTAGCCGCTTGCATGCAGCACTCAAGTTTAGGATGCATGAATAGTATATACAGCGTTAAAAAGTTTTAGCGTCGACCCTACATATTGACCAAGGGGCTATTGTATGACAGCGTGTAGTAGATTTTAAGTCTTAGCTAACGATGACTCTCAAGTCATTGTTTGTCTGAACAACAGGTAGCTCAGTGTTATTCGTCGCGTACGTATCTACCTTGATGACCAATATGCATCACAATACGCTTGAAAATATTTATCGGCCACTGCCAATTTTCGATGGCCATTCACATACAAGAGGAATAAGACTGGCCCCATAGCTGTACCCTGAGGAACTCTGCTAAGCACAGTTTCCCAGCTAGATAACTTGGAGTCCACCAGTACTCCTCGTTGACGCCCGTCTATTAAGTCTTTCATCCACATCAATAATTTGCACCCAACCCCTGAATTTCTTAACTTATATAACACACGGTTGTGAGAGATTTTGTCAATGGCTTTACTGAAGTCAATGTACGCTATGTCTTTAGGTAACTTTCAATTTTTAAGGGACAGGAATAGCCTATTCTAAAGCCATGCTGCTTTTCCGAAATTATCTGGTTCTTATTGAGACACTTGAACAACTCCTTCCGAAATATCTAATCTAAAATTTTAACAACCACGCTAGTTAGGCTAACAAGTGGATAGTTCTCAGGTTTATGTTTCGTACCTGTTTTGAAGACAGAGCTTACTATGGCGATTTTTCAGTCTTGTGGTAATCGACCCTGGGTCACAGATAGATTAAAACATATACTTAAGAAGTTCACGACGAAGTTAGCTAGTTTCTTTTGTAACCTAGGATGCATTTCATTGACTTCCGTGGATTTACCTGTTTCATGATTATTTAGAAGACCAAAGACATATAGTTTTTTAGTGGTCACGTTGTACAGTGTGTGGGGGGATTTGCATGGGCTGGCACGAAGGGTGTTTCTACGATATATATATTTCTAAAGTAGTTTGAGAATACTTGAGCATTACCTTAGTCGCTTTCAAAAATGGTGAGGCGTTACTGTCTCCTCATAGTGCTGCAATATTTCCTATTCTTCTAGTCCTTTACTTTATATACTAATATAAGAGTTTGTGGCGTACTATAAAATGGTTAGCTATTTTTTCTTCGTACAACCTTGTACGCTTAAGGAGGGTAAAGGAACAAGTTTTTCAAGCTTCTCGCTATTGAGATTTTGCCTCATCTGTACCCATTAACCTAAATCTTTCCCACATTCCTCTCCTCTTAAGGAGAAGGATGCGGACCTCATCAATGAACCATGATGGAGGGTTTCTCGGCCCCCTTGATATAGTTCAAGGGATGTGAGGTGCGGTAACTCTTAAGTATAAATTTCGGAATGTGCGCCAAGCCATTTCAATTGAGGACTCTGGGTCGATTGTACAATCCACTAACGATGCTGAGTGCATGGTATCTGGTATGTTGGCTTTCCAGACGTTAGGTCTGGGTTGAGCTAACGCGTGCTCGTGATTGACAGTTTTATGGAAGTCAAAAGTTAGAACTGCATGATCACTTTTACCTAGGAGTGGCATGTAATCGATGTTCGCAACGTCATCCTCATAGTGATTCAATATAAGACCTAGTAAGGATGATTCAGAGTCCGAGTCGTACCTAGTCGTTTCTTTCACATGTTGTACTAGGGCACATGCAATAACAGCATCAACTAGTTGATGCCCGAAGGAATTTTTTGACAATTCAATCCTCAGATTCTTCCAGTCTACCCTCTGTGCATTGAAGTCTCCTCGGATTAGACATCAATCACTTTGTGACCAAATATTGAAGCTGTCTAAAAAGAACTCATGTACCTCACAACTTACTGCGGTAGACCAAACAAAATAGCAGTCCTTGTTTCTCTCATTTCAAACGGCAACTAACTAATTCTTACGTCCCAATCTCATGGGATACAGTGTCGATAATGGTAAATGGAATAGTGTTCCTAATGAATAGAGCTAGTACTCCTCTTTTAAGCTTCTGGATTCTGTTGGCTCTTACGTGAAACCTTCAAGATCAAGTTTCATACTATATATGTATCAGCTAAGTTCCTGTGACTGCGATTACATCTGGCTCTGTAAAGTAAATTTGCACACCTAGTTCGGATCGCTTATAAGGCAAGCTTCAAGTATTTGTGTAACATATCCGAAGCCTATTTAAATGACTTCGTGCTGCATCCATAGTGGATTCGCTATCATTCCCTGTTGAAACCTCACAATCCGAAAATTTACAATTTTCGGCTTCCCGTCTTTCTACATGGTCTGCGGGCTGCAAGTCCTTACAGACAAAAACTCCTGACCCCTTTAGTTTGTGTCCATTCCGTAATATCAAGTCCCATTCATTAGGAAATTTAAATACTACTTTAAGCAGCCTAGTTTATATGTTTCAAATTCATTTGGCTAATTTGTTTATACACCTTTAGCAACGTATTCGGAGGCATAAGTTAATTACGTATCTGTCTTACAAACCTAACGTCATGCACAAAACGGGTTTTCGGTTCTGAGCTTTCACTTTATGAAAGACAACTGACCTGTCACTGTGATCAGTGATTAATTTCTCGGCTACTTTTAGGGAAAGGGTTGGATCTTCTTTACTAGCGTTATGTCGTTTTTTGTTCTCGACCAGTACCCACTCATCAACTTTCGTCGTGTTAGCAACTACAAACGCATCAAACATATTGTGGAATTCCGGAATGGTATCGATGACTTGGGCAGTCAGGTTGTTTCTCCTGTTAAAAACGGATTTAGCCTAGCAATCGGGATATTTAAGCGTTTCCTACCGTTCAACAGTGGAAGTCTAGCCATCTCACTGCACAAATTCTAGTCAGTCTGGGAAGTGTAGTCCTAACGTCATTTGCATTTCTCAAACTTTTGCTGTGTTCTTACGCAGCAAAAGTACCATTTCTGATCTAAAGAATCTATTCCAAGCTATACGTTCGAAAGAGGACTTTTTTTCGAGTTTCAACTGATCTAATAGTTAACTGTCGTTTTGCCTCTGCTTACTATTCGTTTTTTTCACTTTTTCACGTAAAGGCTAGTTCAATTTATCTCATCAGTTTTTATCCACTTTTGCCCGTTTCTAGTGTGCTTTTTGGTGTATTTTCGAACAGTTTCAGGCTTCTATTAGCATCTATAATTCAGTTCATGTCAATATAGCCATGAAAAATTTATGCAAACGACCTGGATGTCGTTTTGCAGTTACATCTGGCATGCAGTGCAACAACTGTAAAGGTTGGTTCAATGAAGCGTGCACAGATCTCACAGCAACTGCTTACAACAGACTCAGCAAGTCGGGTCATAAGTAGGAGCGTTACGTGCAGCACAGATGCTGTAGTCTTGCTGAGTAACATCGTTGTCCCATTGACAGGTCTGCGGAATAAGTTGTCAGCAAAGTTCGAAAATGACAGTCATAAAACGGGTAGACAAATAATGGCGCGCAACGAAAACAAGAATAGGGATGTCTACAGGTAAACCATCGATCGAGCATGCATTAGCACTAATGATGACATGTTAAAACTCAGCAACATCATCACGTCTACGGTAATAGACTTCCTCAGTAAACTCGGGTCTCCCAGCTCAGGGTTCTTGAATGCAACAGTGGTTCCCCAAAACTCTATAGGTGATTGGACCCACGTTAACAGAGCTAAAAAGAACTAGGCGTCACCGTCTAAGCTGGACACCTCAAGTGTCGCATGGAAATGGTAGCACAGTCTACCCCAATAATGTCCATCCGGTCATCAAAGAGCCTAGGATTCAGAAACGTGCTTCGGCCTCCAAACGACAAGGTGCTGAACCTGAACACACCGGAAAACCTGAAAAAATAATAACAGTTCGTGATGATTCTGTCATAATCATGAACCTGAAAGACAACCCTGACCTTCCTCTCAGTTTGCAGGACAAAATGATAGTGTGCTTCGGAAAGAACTGAACAAGAAGCTTGAACTT